ATATGTTGGCCTGGAGCAGCAAGGGAGAATGCAGGTGGCCAGCCGTGGGGGAGCAGAGGTAGTCGTCCAGCCTTTTGTGGGAGAGCGGAGGCGGCCGGCCAGGCGTGGGAGAGAGCATGTGCGTCTTGAGGAAGGGCAGAGACGGACCAGCAGGCGCTGTAATGAATAGACCCGGGGATGGGGGGAGAGGGAGTGAGCTGTCATCTCCCTGCTCTGCTCCCTCAAGCGCCCTTCAAAGATACCGGGAGCCGGTATCTGCATGTGTCTCTGTGTATCTGCAAGTGTATCAGAGTGTGTATCTCTGTGTCAATGTGTCTGTGTGTCAGGGTATGTGTCTTTATTTGTGAAAGTTTATGTATGTTTATGAAAGTTTATGTATGTGTGTCAGGGTGTGTATCTGTGTGTCAGGGTATGTATCTGTGTGTCAAGGTATGTATCTATAAGTGTGTCAGGGTATGTATCTGTGGGTCAAGGTATGTAACAGTATGTATCTGCATGTGTGTCAGTGTCTTCATCTATGTCAGTGTCTGTATCTGCATGTTTGTGTGTCAATGTATATGTGCTTCAGTGTCTGTATCTGTATGTCAGTGTGGGTATCTTTGTCTGTATGTGTGTCTGAGTATGCATTTGTGTATCATTGTGTGTGTCGTTGTCTGTATCTGTGTCTCTGCATGTGTGGCAGTGGATGTGTCTGTGTTTCACGGTATCTGCATATGTGTCAGGGTATGTATATGTGTGCCAGGGAATGAATCCTTAAGTGTATCAGTGTATATGTATGTGTCTGTGTATCTGCATGTTTGTCAATGTGTGTATCTGTGTCTGTGTATTTTCATGTATGTGTGTGTATCTGCATTTGTGTCTGTGTATCTGCATGTGTCTGAGTATCTGCATGTGTGTCAGTTTGTTTCTCTATGTCAGTGTGTATCTGTATCAGGATATGTTTCTGCATGTGTGTCAGGGTACATATCTGTATGTGTGTCAGGGTACATATCTGTATGTGTGTCAGGGTACGTATCTGTATGTGTGTCAGGGTACGTATCTGTATGTGTGTCAGGGTACGTATCTGTATGTGTGTCAGGGTACATTTCTGAATGTGTGTCAGGGTATGTGTCTGTATTTGTGTCATTGTATGTATCTATGTGTCTGTGTATCTGCATGTGTGTCAATGTGTGTGCCGAATGTCTGTATGTCAGTGTATGTATCGGTGAGTCGGGTTATGTATATATGTGTCTGTGTATCTGCATGTTTGTCAGTATATGTATGTGTGTCTGGGTATGTATCCTTGTGTGCCAGTGTATGTATCTATGTGTGTGTATCTGTGTGTCAGGGTATGTATCTACATGTGTGTCGGTGCCTATATATTTGTCAGGGTATGTATCTGCATGTGTGCCAGTGCCTATATATGTGTCAGTGTGTATAAGTTCCCTTATTTACCACTATAATGTCTTAAAGCATAGAACTTAATAAGGCTAACGATACAGATATCTTAGCCATAATTTTATATAGTTAGTAAGAGATCCTCTATTTAACATATATAATTTAGAATACAATATAAAATAAGGATTGTCTTGGAAGCAATAGTTTTCTTTTCGATATTTATTATATAAAAATATAGATATAGACATATAAAATCCATTATAGCAGAGTTTATAAGATTAAATTAAATGCTTGCAAATATCATTAATAGGTTAACATACCCTTTTGAACATGTCATCATGTCAGCCTCTCTGTCATTTTAAGATGGAGCAGCGTCTGTCTCCAAGTCTCTCCTCTGTGTCTTAACATTTAAAAGTACACCTATTTATACCTTAGGTGTCTCCATTTTAGGGTTACCGTAGTTCATATATGAAAAAGTAACACTTCTTTTACTTTATTCATTTTAGGACCTCCCTTAACTTGGCAAACATACAAGGCCATAACTAAAGGGTGTATACGTCATGGAAATTTTCTTGACTTAGTTCAAGATGGCATCTTAAAGTCTGGACATCCTTATCTACTTAAGGTTACCACAGTATATTGTGTACTGAAAGAGTCGTAGCATAGCCTTGAAGCCTGCTTATGCATTATTGTTATTGTAATTCGTCTGGGACTTTATTGCTTAAAGAAACAGTTATGAAAAACAATATGTTCCATTTCTAACACCTTGTCAGTTTGCAATATCTCTTAAAGACAAAGTATACAGTTTAAGAAATACAACATTTCATTCTAAAACTTGTAATATTTGCATTTGCCCTTAACACCCTCTCCATTAAACTGTGGCCATTGTAGACCATTTCTTCCTTAAATTAGTAAACCAAAGTTATCCAACAGTCTAGGTTTTTTTTTTTGCTCCCAGCATCTTTGATCATTGTTGTACCAGTAAAACATCTGTTACAACAAAGTGTGATCTTTGCCTGTAAAGGTGGTTGATTAAAATGAGCAAAGCTTTTGTCTAGGAAAGAATTGAAAAGAACACCAGGTTCCAGAGTAAGATAGTCTTGGATAGATCAGGATACTAATTTAATCCAAAGTTAAAAGTAGTAATTGTATTTGTAATCCAAAGTCTTTAAAGGCCTGTAGAAGTTTACATTCCTTAGATACATTGCTGGAAGGTTGTGTTTGTAGAATACCTGGGTATTGGTTGTAGAGTCCAGCTATCCAATTATTTGGCTAGAATTGGTTGCAGATATTGAATCAGCATCATCTGTTATCACCGTGGTAATGGTGTTGGTATTTGTCTTTGTCTTTTGTCTTTGCTTGTTTGCTTTTTGTTTTGTTTTTTCCATGAAACATTTTTACACCATTTATGATGTGTATAGATTGGATACTCTCCGATATTCTTTTACGGAATAAATTAATTGACCGCATTTCCAAGACATTGTCTTAAGTGACATGCATCCCATTATAGTAAATGTTACGTTGATACAGCATTCTCAAGAACGCCTCTTTTTGCGGTAATGTAATCTTTGCAACACCACTACATCTCAATGACATATAACGACATCAGGTGCTGTTGTGCTAAAAATGTTAACAGGTAAAATCTGTGGAAAAATCTTTACATTTGTTATACTTTGTATAATAATGATAGATGAAATAGTAACATATTCAATCTTTCTAGTGTTTTGTATTAAAGATAAACACTCTTGTATATGATTTAGATATATAAGAATAATTTGAAGCAGCAAAGTATTTACCGCCTTTGTTCTCAATGGTATGTAAAATTACATTCTCTTTAAATGTTAGAAATACTCCTTTATTCAAAATCTGTCAATCTAGTTAGAATAGTTGCTTATTGGAAATATGACATTAATTATCTTTGTTTGACCTGTTAGGGAGAAGACAACTTATTCCCTAGTTATTAGTGGCTTAAAATACCAGAAACACCCAAAAATTGTCTTAAAAACTTTTTTTTTTAACCAAGATCTGACAGCCATTGTGGAAAGTTACGTTCGTGAGATTGGATGCTTAACAATGTGAATCTTAATTTTTTAAGTATATTTTTCAGTGGCTATTGGGTGTAGCTTAAGATGATTTGAATATTTATTATTTCTAAAAGTGAGTTAAGAAAGCACTCCGATACTATATTTTAACTCTACCTTTGTATAAGTGGTTTTAACACTTTCATAACAATAGATATCAGAATCTGTTGTAAGTATAACTGGTTGAAGTGGGGGTATGTTACAATCAGAATATGAATTCATAATTCTATGCATGATGTATTGATTAAACAATCAATAGATGTGGCAGGATCATTACCACAAGGTATATGTACCTTTAATCATCATAAACCAAATAACATTTTCTTGGTTTTTGAAAAAAAGATAAAATATTTGATTACGTGTATTTTAATATAGAGTGGTATGGGTGTTGAATTTATATATTTGACATCTTTTCACTAGTTTGCAATAGGTGATCTAAATGATCAATTTCCAAAATAATCCATAATACTCTTTTTTACTTTCCATTGACTGGCCTTAGCTCTGGCAGATTGAATATGTTTATCATTATAAATAAACTTTATGATAGTTGAAGTAAAGTTTCTGCCTGTCTTTTAGTTAAATTTTAAATGTTGAAGTATTTCACTTATATTGATTAAACCACTCTGCAAACCTAAACGAATATCGAGTAGTTTCTGATTTAATAAAAACATTTCACATTTCCTTTTAAGATTAAAACATTCATTATTGCAGTTGTTATTGTAATCATATGATCTTTAACTAAAATGATTCAATTATTTATCTGGGTAATCAGCTACTATGCTCTTATACGTATGTTTAATATATTTGTTTGTAGGCTAGACTGCAGCTGCATATGGCATTTTAGCAATAATCTTCAATTGCGTTTCAGATATTCACAAAGTCTATCCACATTTGTAATTAACACATTATGCGTTTATTTTATACCATTAATTATAGTATCTGTATTATATTACACATTGTCACTGACACATTTCTGATAGAGGGAAAAAAATAGCATGATTGCTTTAGTAATTATAATTTTTCAGTCCATGCACCACATTCCTTTAAGTCCAGAATATAGCAAGAATCCTTTGTCGTTTGATTCTATGGAGCCATTTAACGTTTTGATTGGTATAATTATACCAAAAGAGCAAGGAGTACGACGGTAGATCACATCTGCAACAGAACCATTACAGATTCCTTGTTGTATCAATGTCTCTGTGTTTATGTTTACAGGAGTTCCTTGCTTTGCAGGTATGTACATAATATGTAGAGTTTAAGAAAAGCTGCAAATCGTGTTTTTGTAAAAGTGTCCCGAGATGTCAGGTTTCTGAAAGATTTTGCTGGTCTTTTATATTCCATTCTCTTGGCAGGGCATCTGCTCTTAGTAAGCCGGTCTTGTTATTATTAATTGCATCAACGTTTCTTTCGTTAATTGATGTGTTTCTTCCAAATACAAATTCATATGCCACCAAATGTCATTGTAAAGTTCATTGTTACAGAATAATGTTCCAGGATGTTTTTTCACTCCAGTGGGAAATCTATATTCCTCTTCTTCTGCTCCTTCCTATTAACCACTTTTTCTGAGTTGTAGGCAACAATCTGTGTCTTGTACTGTGAGGTGCTTTGATAGTCAATCTGGTTTTGTCAGTACCATGTTCCATCTTGAGAAACAGCTGGGTGTTGACAGTTATCAGCCTTTATTTCTTTTTCTGGTCATCTTCTGTCTGGAAACATAATAGCAATGTCCAGAATTAGCATAGCACTTCTTTTCAGCATAAGAAGGCTGTCTGCGGTAGTCACTCAATGATAAACTATATGGCAAAGTCTTTTTTAAATCACGTTCATAGGTGCATCCAAAGTCTTTCACAATCATCTGTCCCATCTTTTTCTGTTTTCAGCATGCTTTGCCATCATCGTTGAGTCCATTATTAGGATTTGGAATAGTTCAATCACATCTTTCTCATAATCAGTTTTTGGAATGATCTTAATAGGTTCCTTGTGAAATACCAGTGTAGGCAATCATTTCACTGTGAGCTGTGTCTCTCCTTATGAGATAGTTCTTGGAGGTAATCTTCACGATCAAAGAACTTGTATAGTGTGCAGTCCAATTCAGTTCAGGTGCTTCCTGCTTGTTAACATATTCCAATGCAGTTTTAAAACGACAGCTAGGGTTGATGTTATGATAATGCTGCAGACTGTAAGAAGGAGACACCATATCCAATTTTCTAGCATCCTTTTGCTTCCATCTTTGCATTTCTTTCTTACTGTATAAGATAATTCAGGTTCAGTCTGTTTTCTCCAGAGTCTCTTATAAAGATGTTGATGATTAATTTTTCATACGTTCCATGTTAACTATGAATGTATCGCGTCTGTCTGTTCATCCCAGTGGCGGATCCAGAGCCTGATCTCGGGAGGGGCACTTGTAGATTATTTAAAGAAATAATCCAGACACAATAACCACTACAGCTCAGTGTAGTGGTTATGGTGTCTATAGTGCCGGGACCCCCTCCCAGAGTAAGTAGTCAAACAGTTTAAGAACAGTTTGACAACTTACCTGAGGTCTGCTAGGAAATGGGGTAGTAGTAGTGCATAGGAGCAGTAGTGTGTGTGAGTGGTGCAATGTGTAAGGGGTGCAGTGTGTGTGAGGGGGACAGTGTGTGAGCTGTGTGTGTGTGAGGGTGGCAGTGTATATCAGGGATGCAGTGTATGTGTGGGACAGTATGTGTGTGTAACAGTTGCAGTGTGTGAGTATTGCAGTGTATGTGTGTGTATGGGGCGGCAGTGTATGGGGCAGTGTGTGTATATGGGGGGCAGTATGGGGGGCAGTGTGCATGTATGGGGTGTATGGGGGGTGTGTATGGGGGGCAGTGTAAGGGGGGCAGTGTGTGTGTATGGGGGGCAGTGTGTTATAAGGGTAGGGGGGCTTTTATATATTATATATATATATATTTTATTTATATATAATTTTAATTAAAATATATATTTATGTCCCCCCTCCCTTCTTACCTTTACTGGGGGGAGGGGGGACATTTCCCTGGTGGTCCAGTGGGATTCATTGGTGGTCCCAGTGGGGAGAGTGAACTCTAGCCCGCGCTCCAGGGCTAGAGTTCACTCTCGCGAGATTTGGAGCATTGCCGTGGTAACCGTGGCAACGCTCCAACTCCCGCGAGAGGAGGACCCGGAGGAGCTGCAGCCTGAGCTCCGGGTCCTCCCTCTCACTCCCTCTCCCTGTCAGCACTGTGCCTGCGGACCGGGGAGGGAGATCTGTGATCTCCCCTCCGGTCCGCAGGCACATTGTAGGGCTGGCAGGAGAGGGAGAGGGAGACCGTCGGTATTCTCAGCCAATTGCCCCGTTGCCCCCCCCTGGATCCGCCACTGGTTCATCCTTCTCCTTCACATTTGCAGGTTCAGATGTCCGATCATAATTCAGTCTGTTACGTGGCTATGATTCTGGTGGCATTTCTGTCGTCCTCTGTTTGATTTATCTTGTCATCTTTAACAGCATCCATTCTATCAGTCAGTGGTTCTGTGAACGTCCTGTTAGTATTTAGCAGGTTGTAAAATATCAAAACTTACTGTTCTCTGTTGGCTCTGATTGTTCTCTGTAGTAAAAGTTCTCGGAGTCACCCTCTCCAGGACAAACTGGCCAACAGTAAGAAAAAGTTGGTGGTGCAAGGCGAGGTGGTCTGGGAAAAAAAATTCCCTAAATTTCTCTAATAGAACCAATGGTTCTAAGCTCTGCCTGGTGCAGAAATATGTTTGTCAGTGAAAAACATGTAACATTTCATATGGTGTCTCACCATTTGTATCATCAGGTATGTTGTGAATGCTTATCTGTACCATAGGAATAAATAAATACCACTGTGTGGGGCAAGAAACTAGTAACTTGGTTAATAATCATTTAACCTCAGCATTTTCCCAGACCACAACCCCACTTCTTTGGGGGTGGTTGGCGCACTGAAATCCCAAAGTAACCCAAATGTGGTTGCCCAGTTTTAGGTTTCCTTTGCAGTAACTGCAGGACCACCATCCAAATGGATGGTCCTGGGATTATCAAATGCATACTAAGGAAGTGAGACTAGAAAACGTGGTATCAGAGGTTGCACTTTGCACAGGATATATCCAAGTAAACCTGGTACATCAACATAAACAAAAACATATTTATAACCATGAGATGTTGGCAAACTTCCAATATATATTCATTCAAAAAGTACGCTTGTCCTAGCCATGAAAAAGCTTTTAGGGCAAGTCTATTTTTCCTTTACAAGAAGAACAACCAACTTATTACGTTCAATGGTTATTATGTAATTAACCCCTCTAAACGATAGGAGTATTTATGCGGATACCAGGTGGATTATTTCTGGATATCCTTGCAAGCATAAACTCTGCATCATGACTGAGAGATAGGGTATGGGATGTGTGACAAACTTACTTTCCTGTGTGTGTTTGTCCAGGATCTTTTGGCAACCGCACAGCCCTCTAGGGTAAGAAAACCAGGTCAAGACAAAGTCCAGTTTCAAAAGGGCCTCTGGCCTGTTTATTTTCTGTTGTTGTGAAGTAACAGGATACAATGAACAGCAAATCTTCTTTCTCCACAAAACACTTTCTTTCTCCTCCAAAACACTTCCCTCACTTCACCCTGCTTTAACTGCAGTTATATAGCTGCTCACAGCCCCTACAGGTGAGGCTAATGACCTCGTTAGGCAGTGAGCCAGAGCTCTATGGGAAACCTGGGCTGGACTCATGCACAACCACTCTGACAGTGGGTGGAGAATCGGCCCACCCTGCTCTTCCGAATACTCCACCCCAGGGACCCAAATAACAACAGAGGAAAAAAAACTACATTTAAACTTAACTTTCCCTGGGGCTGCATGTGCTTACCCACATGTCAGGATAGTGGCTGTGCAAAAGTCTGGGTGCCAGATGTACACCCCTGACCACCATCCCCAACACTCTGTTACATATCCTCCCCCCCAGCTCAGACCTAGTGGGGTGAGCGACCACAGAAAACAAATTTTCTCGCGACAAACTGTCAGCATTTCCATGTTTAGACCCTGGCCTATGTTCAACCGTAAAATGAAATGGTTGTAAGCTGAGGAACCACCTTGTCACCCTGGCATTATTATCTTTGTTTTGACTCATCCAGGTTAAGGGGGCATGGTCTGTGACCAACCTAAATTTTCTACCCAGCAGATAATATTTCAATGAGTCTAAGGCCCATTTTATGGCAAGGCATTCCTTTTCCACTATAGAATAATTTTTCTCAGCGGGAGTCAGCTTCCTACTTAAATAAAACACTGGGTGTTCTTCACCCTGAATTTCCTGAGACAGAACTGCCCCTAACCCAAGCTCTGATGCATCGGTTTGGACAATAAACTCTTTAGTGAAATCCGGGGTTACCAGAACCGGTTGGGTGCACAAAGCCTCTTTCAAAGTTACAAACGATTTTTCTGCCTCTACTGACCACTTAACCACTAGTGGGGCTTTACCTTTTGTGAGATCCGTTAAAGGAGCTGCTAATGTAGCAAAACCAGGAATAAATCGCCTGTAATACCCAATAAGTCCCAAGAAAGTCCTAACTTGCTTTTTAGTGAGGGGGCGTGGCCAATTTTGTATGGCCTCCACTTTTGCTGTTTGGGGCTTAACTAGTCCTCTCCCAATCGAATAACCCAGATATTTTGCCTCTTCCAAACCTATAGTACACTTAGATGGGTTAGCAGTTAAACCAGCTAAGCGGATAGAGTCCAGTACTGCCTGCACTTTGGGAAGATGTGAAGCCCAGTCAGGACTGTGAATGACTATGTCATCTAAGTATGCGGCCGCATAATGGCTGTGAGGCTTCAAAATCCTATCAGTCTCTGAAAAGTGGCAGGGGCCCCATGTAATCCGAATGGTAGCACCTTGTATTGGAATAATCCCCCTGATGTAGAAAAAGCTGTCTTTTCTTTTGCTCTGTCTGTAAGAGGTACTTGCCAATAACCCTTCGTCAGGTCTAAAGTAGTCAGGTACCGAGCCTTACCCAGTCTCCCCCCAACAGTTCATCGACCCTAGGCATAAGCGTATGGGGTCCCTGAGAATATGTCTCTTGTTCCTCTGTGTCTCTGAAATCTTGAAAAATCTTACCAGGTCTTTCAGGAGCTGGAGTCTTAACTCTCTGCTTAGCCTTTGTGTTGCTGAGCCACTGTCTGTCATCTGCAGCCACATATCTTTCCACCAAACCAATTAACTCATCAGCTGTTTGTGGATCACTCTGACTGACCCATCGACGCAGTGAAGCAGGCAAGCCCCGCAGGAATCTGTCCATCACAAGAAGTTCCATGATATGGCTTGCCGTATTTATTTCTGGTTGTAACCACTTCCTAGCCAGATGTATCAGGTCAAACATCTGGGAGCGGATAGGCTTCTCTTGGTTGAAAGTCCAGGCATGAAATCTTTGGGCACGAACTGCCATAGTCACACCAAGTCGTGCAAGGATCTCAGCCTTCAATTTGGAGTAGACCCCTGCCTGTGCTGGTTCCAGGTCATAGAAAGCCTTCTGGGGTTCTCCAATAAGAAAAGGTGCCAGTATGCTTGCCCACTCACTCACCGGCCACTCTTCTCTCTCAGCTGTCCTCTCAAAAGCTAGCAGGTATGCTTCCACATCATCTGTAGGTGTCATCTTCTGCAGGTAACGGCTGGCTCTGATCATTTTAACCTCGGACTGCGTCCCATCCGAGACTCTGGTCAGTCCCTTGGTCAAAGCCTGTATCTCCTTCTGTATCATACTGGTGGC